CTATCGAAATCATGTGCGAACTGGCTAGGCAAAATGATAGCGCAGTGTAAGAAAAAAATAGTTTTGAAGCTTGTCGTGACTTATGCGCAGAAAAGTATTCATTTAACCGAAAGGCTGTCAAACTGTCTTGATACCTGACAAGAACGAAAATAATATTTCGTCTTATTCCAGGGCTCGACAGATGCTCTCTCATTTTGTCTCGTGATTATTTGAATAATTTTAAGAACAGGAAAGAGGGAAAGAGACGAAATGAGAGAGGAAACACCTACCGTCATGATTAGGTACCACACGTAAGTACCGGGAGAATTCGCTGTTTGATCCACGTAGGCACCCTGCAGGGTCCGCATCATAAGCGCATCGACGGTATTTTGCAGCTGAAAGGGCAGATATTATGATAAGACTTCTGTGGAATAGTCAAGAAGATGATATGTGGTTAAACTGGTCAACTGAAGGCAACCATTGCACCAAGCATGTGCGGAAAAACGTACACTTTCATTCGTGCCAAAAACGACACCAGTGGCGATAGACGAAGCTATGATAAGCAAGGCGAGAATGGCCGCGTGCTAAAAGGAGAAAAAAAGAAGTCGATGCTTAGAAAATTACTGTAGTAACACGGTCAATATGTTTGCAGTGGAAAAAAACGTAGCTTGGAGTAGGTGTATTTTAAAGCATATATCCTGTTCTTTATTACAGGAGCCCTCCAGGTGTCTGGTTGGAGACCACACACATGGGTTCAGACAAGAATGTCGCTTTTTAAGGTATTCATTCATCTCTATGCAGTCATGCAGTTCCACTCAAATTTTAAAACTGTAGGCACTGTCATTCGTGCGGGAGTCCATTGAGTCAAAAGCACCCACGGCTTTCAGGGTGCCGTCTATCTCGGTCGTGATCGCGCCTGCAATTTGGGATGCAGCCTCTACTGGAGGAGAGTACAGTGCGACATTTTGACCATTATTAATTCACGGCTGACTACTGCCTTTCGGCCGAACTTATTAAACTGCAACTCTGTTGAATATGCAGTCAGCCTTACTTTGTTCGAGATGGAAGGGCCTAATTGACGGTTACTTTGAAAATTGCCGAGTAGTAGTAGCAAATAGAACAGTTAAAGGAAAAGGGACAGTTGGAATATACAGTATATTGGACTGACGTTTTGGATGTTTGCTCGAAGCTCCTATATGTGTATGACACTAATAATGGGTTCGAACGAGGATCCGAAACGTTAGCCAAATAAACCCTATGCTCTAGAGACTGCGTCTTCGTCTTCCTCTGAACGCCAGACTAGATCTGGTTGAGAGTAAGCCTTGACTGACAGGTGTAGTTCACCGACTTTTCGCAAAAATTTTCATAACTGCATCTTCTTCGTGGTCTTATAGAATGGTATGCCCACGTTTCCAAATCAAACAAGAAAAGCCTTTTCTGATCTCTTTAGTTCTTTTCAGTCAAATGTTTCGGTGTAGAATTATTATCAGTGTATGTATATCCACGGTTTATAATACTATGAATAATGAGCGTTGAGCGTTGTGAAGTATCACCTAACACTGCTGAAATGAACACTTGAACTGTTCCTTATTAACCATGCTTGAGGATACGTGTTGCCGACCTTTTATGTCGCCCTGAATCGAATATAGATAGCAAAATGCATGAAGTTCTCGGACATACGAAATGTGCTCTGCGGTCTCCAGTGACTGGGCAAGAAAAACTACGGGAAAATCATGCTTTGGAATAAAAATGTTTTGTAAGTTTTCTATATGCAAGCTTGCTGCGTTTTCGTGGCGCGATGCATATATTGCGCACGGGTTATTAATATGTAGGGATCGCAAACCATAGGAGAAGGCAGATGAACACGCTATTTCAGAGAACACGAATAATCTTTACGGAAATTTGTTATTTATTTTGAGACGTTTGCAAAAAAATCGATAATTATTGTGCCCTGAGTCGCGGCAATAACCAATAGCATATGTTCACACCTTCCCATCATAAAACGAAGCGTGCTAGGCATCAGTACTGCAATTAAAGTGCACAGTTCTCCCATAGACGAGCCGAAGTGCTGTGATACCGAAGTTTACTAGGTAATATAAGGCTAGATAAGTGGCAAGGTCCACATGAGAGACATTAAAGCAGCCTATGAACTTGTAATCCATGCACCGGTTTCAAATACTAACATAAAAGTTCGCTTTGAGGGATGATAAGGCGAATAAATTATTGCTTGAATGTGTTACCTCGGTCATTCGCCAATTTGTATCGCTTGCTCCCACAACCCCCTTTAAACTATTGAGTTGAAGCATGATATATGTTCCAAAACACCCAGGATATACTCCTGGTGAGGCGTATGTGGCATTCGCGGCTTAGTTCCAAAGCAACTAGCGCGCACCACCTCGAACGTCCAGCTGCTTTTTGATGCTTTTTTCTTGTGTGGGGACATCCTCTCTAAAGGACATCATGGTCGCGTTCACGTAATTAAAACCATTTTGAGGTAAGGTTGTTTTTGTGAGTGTTGTACAAACACGGGTTAACATCAGTCGCACTAGTCAAGGTAACAAACGCTCGTAGGCATGCACACAAGCAGATATCTACCTAACGAAGGCGGTTAAACTAATTTTAGGAAAAGTATCATAAAATGTCCCATCTAAAAATGGAACAATCGGGTAAGCCCATCCCGCCCAGACTGTTTGAAAAGCGGTGAGCAACCAAACTTTAGCTATGGCCTTGCGCTCACTAAAGTCCTTAAACCTACAAGAAGCCGAGAAAAGGCACTCGTGTAAACGGCAAATCATTCTCAACAGCTGCTGCGTAATTAAAGCTTTAGATAGAATGACAAAAGCCAATGCTATGGAAAACTGACCAGATTGATAAGGTAGGCGGTTAACTGTTTATAAAACTGGGCTGAGTAATTTCAAAGTAATCTTTAATGTGAAATAAGCACTGTTTTTGCGTATCTTTCAATAGAGCCAACTGTTACCACTATATGAGGCCTATAAGCGTCGTTCATTTGTGATAACGGCAGCGGCTAGTAGAGTTACGAACACAGACAGGGTATACATTTGTTGCCTGGTGATTCAACCAACTAGAATGACACAACCGATAGAGAGGCTGGAATGCTCCTGTGTGAATTGTTAGCCTACATGAATCCAGATGTTGCAACACCCGGGGTTCGAATCCGTGACCTGTTGCGCATAGGTTGGAAGGCCGAAGCATTGGGTCCCGAAACTCGCTGGCAGTTACTTACGGTGGAAATAATGCGCTCAAAGCACAATGGGGTGATTAGCTCCCTTAGCACGAACACTCTGTGTCTCTCTACCCAAGTCAACTTGACGTTCGGTCCTGCCCCCAGTTTATGCGGTCTTTTGTTATGCCACTAACAAACATGCGAAAACCGGCTATTTTCTTCTCTCTCAGCTTAAGCTGCAGGTGATTGGTTGGAAGCAATATTAAATTAGCCTCTGGAAAGATAACTTATCAAAGTAGTTGAAAAATAAGGAGGGCATTTTGACGGGTATTATATAGCATGAGAGCATGAGATAGAGGAGGAAACACCAATTTTAAAATAACTTTCGTATAAATTGGAATTCAGGCTTCACAAGAAATATAATTTCAAAGAGGCGCATTCTTCGGGATAATGGGCTTCTGAATCACTATTCAGAAAATGCCAAAAATCAATATTAATCTGGTGTAAGCGCTAAGTAGCGGCGTCAGTGTGTATCGATTGACTCCATTTAAGACTTCAAGTTATCAAAAAAATAACTATCAGCTGGTTCGGAATAACATAATATACGCCAATTTTATTAGGCACAGAAAGATCTAATAAATAAATCGAAAAAAATTGTTCATACTACTTACGAATTTAAGTACTCCTCTGCAACCACAGCACGCGGCCAGAGCTCCCAAGAAACAGAAGAGAGCACAGCAGATGCCGACAATAATGAGCGTCAGAGCAATTGGTACTGCATAATGAGAAAAAGACCGATGAGCAATAAATTACGATCAGATACGGCGTTCTTCTAGCCCAGGAATTCAGTCAATATAATTAAGAATAACAGTTTTATAGTAAGTCAAATTCTGGCAGCTTAGATATCCCCCTATCAGAGCACACTGTGAGGCTTTCAAACGCGATCTGAGCTGCTTGTACTCTTTATTTTTGGAAATAGTCCGAGAATGGTAGCGACATACATAAGATTGGAAGTGAATATGGGAAAACACTTGAATAAAGGGTGTAGTAAGAATACTTTGGCGCTTTTCATCGTATACGATTTAAGTGCGAAATCCTTCGGTGCAAAAACGGAATCCCTTTTACATAAACTACTTGTTGAGGACTACGGCGTTTAGATTCATCGCTTTGACGCACGCAAAAATGAGTTTTACTTTTTGTCCTCAGCGTTGCCGCGAACACCGTAAACAGCCAATAGAAGCGAATATGCGAGTTCCAGGAAGCAGTTCAGAGGAAGAAGATGTGATTCCTGGATTCAGTTGACTTCCCATTTGCAGCAAAACAACTACTGAAAAACCCACTCCCTTGTTCCCTATTAGGATGTCCTATATTTATTTTCGATATTTTATCCCCTTTTTCATTATAAAATAAGGCAAATAAAATTAACAATTGATAACAATGCGGGATAAAAATAATTACAGTCATTTTCCATAAAGAATTTTGCCAAGTTCTCAGCGTTTGCTTCGGGCACGGCTTCGTCCAACAGCTGTTGCATGTAGGCAATCACTATCCGTGGGGAGAATCGTATCAGGAAGCCGAATATCGCGAGAAGGAGAAAAAGGAACTATAGGAGGTAGAAATAAGCACACATTTTATATCTACACCGAAGAAATTCAGACGAGAAAATGGTATTTATAGAAAGCATTCCTTTCACAAGTAAACATTTAGCTAATTTTTTGTTTAATTTTCGCTAATTACGGTGTATTTTGTTAGAAGAATATTCGTCATTTTACGAAAAAGCATAACTGTCTTGCGGCACATTAAGTGCGAGGCTGGGTATTTCATGAAAATAAATAATTTTATGCAGAGCAGATAACATTCAATTATGCTGTAGGAATAGGTATTCAATTACGTTTCAAAGCGTGGAACGGTTGCTTCTGTTAGGTTAACAGTAAAGTTAACTGAAAAGGGATGCTCTCGGTTTCTTTTCTAGCTTAGATTAGCTATTCCAGTACGTCTGCTGTTTTCTACTGACAAATTATAGAGAAAAGTCTTCGTTCTCTCAAACTCGAATCATATCTGTCGTGAAGACCTGTCACTTTTGCCCGCACTGATTCACTTTCGGATGCTCAACAAGAAAGTAGGAAATGCCACCTTACGACACATCAAATATGCATTTTACTGAGCTTCTTTTTGATACAAGTCAGTGGAACTTTTCCAGAGTGATAGTAAATTGCAATCAATACATTACCTCAATATGACTAAAGATAAACAGCCATTACGGAAAGCTGATCACACTAACTCAGCAAGTATTATATATGCAAAATGGCCTCATAACACTAAGTGTATGGAAAAAACATACCGTCAAGACCAGGTTGAATATAAACAGGAGAAACTTGAGGCATGTTGGCGCGTCGCAACCCATGGTGAATAGTGATTCCTAAATGAAAGTAACAAGAGACAGAAGTTAGGATTAGAAGGTTAAAGTCGCAGCATTTGTGATACTTCGCAAACATGTTTCTATATATTCGCATTCAATAGCCAATATAAGAACAGTGGTAATCCCTGGAAGTTATTGACAATAAGACAGACAAAGCAATTACTTCGGAGGAATTACATTTCTCCGGAGACGAATTGCCGAACACGCGGCAGCAGTGCGAATGAATTACGCTAATCTTCATGGCCCGGGTCATACCGCGAGAACTGGCCACACATTCGAATTTAATGAAACCGAAATAATTCGAAGAGGAGGCAACAATGTGGGCCATGACTTGCTTAAGTTCTGGTTTATGGTTCTTAGTTTATTCAACAGTGCGGTGCTGGAAATTGGTTTGATCAAGGTTACTTAGCAATCGGGATGAACCCATAGGCGAACAAATTTTTAATGCCAGTGCCGGTGAACCAGAAAGTCGACCAATCCTAACGCGAGCAATTAAATTTCAACACTCAGACCATCGAGCTAGTAACGCGTACATTGAATTTGAATTTGGCCATTATTTCTGTTTTTCACAGAGTGAAAATATTAATTTCCCCCAAAATCGGCCCCTAGGTCGCTCAATATTTTCTTCTTTTGCTTAAAATATTCTCCAAAACGTCACGAAAATCGGTACAACAAGTTGTTATGTAGCATTTATCGAGCACACCCGTTGTCCTAACAATGGATCTATCATATTTCGTCTGCTTTCAGTGAGTGACTGAAGTTTGCATTGAAAGACAACAATGACATACCACATGCAGCAACTTTGAATAACACAGTGAAATAAAATGCCGATTTTGGCCGAGGTTGTATCGAGGTAGGCTTTTGACGGGGAAAACGATTAAACCTGTTTGTAACAATTTTGACAATTAACTAAATTATTACGTTGGTTTGGCAGATTTGGTTAATTAAGTGGACCCAATTGTGAAAAAACTCGCGGCATTCGGCGGGATTCGAAGTCAGCCTAGTAGTCATTCTGGTGGATTCTAGATGATTGCTTAGGAAAT